CCCCGCTCAGATTGAAAATCTTCAAGAGCAACTTAGAGATAAGGAAAAGCAAATGAGCAGCTTGAAAGAACGAGTCAAATCTTTGCAGGCTGACACTACCAACACCGACACTGCCTTGACAACTTTGGAAGAGGCCCTTGCAGAGAAAGTGAGTGACTGGTTTGGACTCTTCATAGACACATTTCCTCTGCTTTCTCATTAATGTAAAATTTTCTCTAGTAATGAGACTTGGATATAAAAGGCAGAAGACGTCCCTTGGGGCAAAAGAGAAAAGAGCTTTCTGTACTATTGCTGACATAGATAGTATAGGGGAAAGAAAATCCACTCTGTTTTTGTCAACTTAAGCATCTCTTGTTAGGCAAGATGGATTCCACAGTAGAGGGCAGTGGCTGAACTTTGTAAACAGTAAGCCATATTTTCCCCATTTACTATCTTCTGAAAAAAAAGAAAAGTTCTTTTTATTTATCTCATCACCTAGAATTTGGGGATGTAGAATATTAGACATTGACCATCAGGAAGCACTATATTATTAGTTCTCTTTTACTGTACCACACTGGTACCTAATATAGTCATGGATTTTAGTATTAATACATTTAGTATTAATGCGTTAATACATACTTGCTATTTTTCTAGTCTTGGCCTTGCTACTGCATTTTGTGTTTATGAGCAAACCTAATCTTTCAGGAATGGTTGACTAAGTAAATAAGTGGCCCAGCCGGACAAGTGTTTATGTCTTGGAAGGAGGTTTAAGGAATCTTGGTGGGGCGTTTTAATTGGATTTTTTTTTTTTTTTCAAACGTTTATTTATTTTTGGGACAGAGAGAGACAGAGCATGAACGGGGGAGGGGCAGAGAGAGAGGGAGACACAGAATCGGAAACAGGCTCCAGGCTCTGAGCCATCAGGCCGGAGCCCGACACGGGGCTCGAACTCACGGACCGCGAGATCGTGACCTGGCTGAAGTCGGACGCTTAACCGACTGCGCCACCCAGGCGCCCCTGGATTTTTTTTTTAAAGGAATAGGGTCACTGTTTTTTAAGCGTCTTGGACTCAGAATGCTTCAGACTGTATGCCAGGGATCAAGGCTTGATCCCTGAATAAATTCAGAAATAATACCCAGAAATATGCTTAAATTGCTTCAACTTTTAGACTTCCTAAGTATCTGTTGACAGAAGTTTTAACGGCTCCTCTCTTTTACCCTGCTTTTTTATGCTTTAAGCTCAGTATGTCATAATCTCCCCAACCTCCTCCTTTTTTGGTGTGTGAATTGTGAGTTGTTTCCATTGCCTTATGGGCAACATGTGAATTACATATAAAAAAGGAGTATTTGTTGACTGTTACCCTTAAGGTAGGGGTGTGTGTGTGTGTGCGCGCGCGCGCGCGCGCATATGCATGCATGCATGTGCCCGTGCGTAAAGTTTTTGGATACTTGGGAGTTAAATGGGATTTTCCAAAAGAATACTTTAGGGGATTCTAATACTATTTGAGATTATAGGAACAGAAACCCAGGGGAGTCAAAAGACCAAGGCCACATCTTTGTTATAGCAAGCAAGATGAGTAGGAGGTATGACTTCTTTAAAAAGTAAATTATTAACAACTTACCACTGTCTTTTGAATGAAGCATGGGAGTGTGAAATTTTATCAGCTAAAAGCTGAATTACACTCATACGGTATAAGTAGGAAAGGAATTTTCTTATGTATTGATGTGCTCTCTTATCAGGAGCGGACAATTGAACGCTTAAAGGAACAGCGGGACAGAGATGAGCGAGAGAAGCAAGAGGAAATTGATAACTACAAAAAAGATCTTAAAGACTTGAAAGAAAAAGTCAGCTTATTGCAAGGCGACCTCTCAGAAAAAGAGGTTAAGATCACCAAAATAGAATGATTTGTTTAGTTGGTGCATTGTATGTATATGTTGATGGTCTTTATGTAATGCATATAAAAATGTATTTGAGAAAAGGTTTTCTTAATATTCTTATAGTATGCCTTTTCAGAAGACCTTAAGGGGTATTTTGGAAAGCTTTGCAGAGGTGTAGTAGATTGGATCATTCATTTCCTAAGTCTTCTCTCTTTCAATATGTTATGAGTTGGTTTCTTACTTGTTAATGACATTTTTATAGATTCTAAAAAACTGAAGCAGTTACACATGGAAAAATACTGTGCTAATGGTAAGAAGGGTGATAGATGAAAAGAATATGCAAATGGAGGACAACTTATTTACAATGGCTCTTAAAAATTTTTTTTTAATTTTTAATTTTATTTTAGAGCACAGGAGTTGGAGAGACGGGCAGAGGGAGAGAGGGAGAAAATCTTAATCAGGGTCTACACTTAACATGGAGTCTGATACAGGGCTCAATCCCACAACCCTGGGATCATGACCTAAGCTGAAATCAAGAGTCAGATGGCCAAGTGACTGAACCACCAGGCACCCCTATGGTACCTCTTAAGTACATCTCAGTATTGGCAGAGAAATCTTAAGTGATTGCTGACCAGTTGGGTTACTTAGTAGCCTTGCTTTGGGAGGATCCTGTTAATGTGACCTAAATAGTAGAAATACCTAATGCCTTATGATCATGTAATAATACATGAGCTTTAGAAACATTCTTGGGTTTTCTTTCTTATATCTTTTAAGAAAATTTATGGTGGGGCACCTGGGTGGCTCAGTCAATTAAGTGTTTGACTTCAGCTCAGGTCATGATCTCAGGTTGTTCATGGGTTTGAGCCCTGCATTGGGCTCTGTGCTGACAGCTCAGAGCGTGGAGCCTGCTTCAGATTTTGTGTCTCCATCTCTCTCTGTCCCTCTCCCACTCGTTCTCTCTCTCTCTCTCTCTCCCAAAAATAAATAAACATTTGGAAAAAATTTATGGTAATTTTTATTTCTAGTGGAACTTCCCTTCTAAAAGGGAAAAGTGTTTTATATTTATGTTGGTGTAGCTACCACGATAACTAGTAGTGACTCCTACTACTAGTGACTACTTTCATTCACAAAGCTTGATCTCCTTCCATTTATTTTGTGGGAATGGATATGTATTGATAGAACTCTTTTAAATTAAAAAAAATTTTTTTTAATGTTTATTTATTTTTGAGAGGGAGAGAGAGAGAGAGAGAGAGAGTGCAAGCAGGGGGAGAGGCAGAGAGAGAGAGGGAGACACAGAATCTGAAGCAGGCACAAGCTCTGAGCTGTCAGCACAGAGCCCGACTGGGCCAAGCTCCACACCAACTGTGAGATCATGACCTGAGCTGAAGTCGGATGCTCAACCAACTGAGCCACCCAGGCGCCCCCTTTTAATTTTTTTTGAATGTTTATTATTTTTTTTGAAGGAGAGAGAGAGAGACAGAGAGACAGACAGAGAGAGACAGAGCATGAGTGGGGGAGGGGCAGAGAGAGAGGGAGACACAGAATCCGAAGCAGGCTCCAGGCTCTGAGCCGTCAGCACTGAGCCCAACACAGGGCTCGAACCCATGTGAGATCATGACCTGAGCTGAAGTCAGACGCCCATCTGACTGACCCACCCAGGCACCCCGATAGAACTCTTTTTATTTTTTTTTATTTTTTTTTATTTTTAAAAAAAATTTTTTTTTTCAACGTTTATTTATCTTTGGGACAGAGAGAGACAGAGCATGAACTGGCAGGCAGCAGAGAGAGGGAGAACACAGAATGGGAAACAGGCTCCAGGCTCTGAGCTCATCAGCCCAGAGCCCGACAGGGCGCTTCCAATCTCACGGACCAGCGGAGATCTGACCTGGCTGAAGTCGGACGCTTAACCGACTGCGCCACCCAGGCGCCCCCCGATAGAACTCTTAAATCACAATTGAATTGGTATTTCTTGGGAATTCAACTTATTTTAGTTGGGACTTGAAAGCTGAGGCTAACATTGTTTTATATTTCATGAATGTTCTTGAAATGGAAACTTCAGTATATAATAATGAACAGAAAATATAAGCCACCAAGATAATAAATTTAAAAAATTTTATTTCCATTTTATTTGTAATTAGTATTTATTCTAGATGTGTATTGCTTTTTTTAGGCTTCACTTTTGGATCTGAAAGAGCATGCTTCTTCCCTGGCTTCCTCAGGACTGAAAAAGGATTCACGACTTAAGACACTGGAGATTGCTTTAGAACAGAAGAAGGAGGAGTGTCTGAAAATGGAATCTCAGTTGAAAAAGGTTAAAGAAAATTTTTATACTTTTCTTACTTTGCTTTAAATAAGAACATAGTAGAAAGCTCTACAGGGTTCACATGTAATAAATTACCAATGATGTAATAATCCCCTAAAATTCAACATGTCATTTATACCTTCATCAGTTCTCTTAGTGTATTTACCCTGTTTTATTTTACTACTGAAAATCCTCAAATTCTTAGAAAATTGACAGTTCAGAGGAAGAGTAAAATATAAGACCACAATGTAAAAATCTTAATTTTTCTGGTATTTTTCTTCCATTAGCATCGGGCTTCCTAGGAGATAATTTAGCAGTGATAGTCACCCATAGGGGTGAGTATTAGGATTGATATAGATATTTATTGTCCATTTCTCTGATTTATTTCTAAGATTTATATGGCAGTTTGTAGGTTTCAAAACACTTTCATATTTATAATCTCCGAGCTGTCAACTCTGTGAGTATTGGAACAGTTAACTGGGTTCAATTCATATGATGACTAATTAAAACAGGTACAGCCTAGTCTTGAGACTTTAAGATGTTTTTTGTTTTTAAAGTTTATTTATTTTGAGAGTTAGTGAAGAGCGTGTATACACACATGTGTGCGAGTGGGGTAAAGGCAGAGAGAGAGGGAGGGAGAGAATCCTCACTGTCAATATGTCAACATGGATCTCACGAACCATGAGATCATAACCTGAGCCAAAATCAAGAGTCAGATGCTAAACTGATGGAGCTCTCCAGGCTCCCCAAGACTTTAAGTTATGTTCTCTTTCTATGTATTGGGTGTATTCAACATGATATCCTTATAATGAATATTTCATATAGAGTATGTCTAAAGCAAAATCACATTTTTAAGCTAAAGAGAGGAAGAAAATCCAGTATCTTATAGTTACTTTTGAATAAGTAGGAAAATACTATTTGTGAGATTATGGACTCCGATTATAACCAATTCACATTTGATAGTTGGCTTTTTTTCCTCACTGGAAAGGTGGAAATAATTTTCTATTTAATACCTGAATATCAAAGGTGAAGCTGTTACATGTATTCAGAGTTATAAAACAGAGCAGGAACTATCAAGAGTAATGTTATTCATTAATATTCTAAACTCCCCTGTTTGTGACAATCCCACATTTTCTATTTGTTTACTTTTAATCTTCTTGTTATCATGGCCTCTTATATCTTAGGCTTTATCTGTAGGTTTATGAGAAAAAATAAAGTTATCTTTGGGTAGAGGAGGCTGATGGCTTTCCTCTACTTTGATTTATTATCTGTTTTAGTAATGGCCATTTTTCTTTTCATATTTTTCTTTGTTTCATTCTGGATCATTGTTTCTTTTCATTTTAGTTCATTACTGATATTTTCCTTTTAAAATGCTTCCACAGTTCCCAAGTCCAACAAGGAGGTTATTTGTATAGTTTTTATTTGTTTTGTTTGTTTTTTGCCTTTTCTCACCCCTTTTCCTACCTTCTCTGGTTTTAATTGAGCATTTTATGTAGTTCATTTTTCTTGCCCCTTTAAGCATATCAGTTGTATTTCTTCAGTTTTTTCAAGTGATTGCCCTAGAGTTTGCAGTATGCATTTTTTACTTATTTCCCAACTTTATTGAGATATAATTAACAAATAAAAATTGTATATATTTAAGGTTTACATGATGATTTATGTATACATTGCAAAATGGTTACCACAGTCAAGCTAGTTAACACATTTATCACCTCACATAGTTATTATTTTATTTTTTTGTGGTGAGAGCGCTTTTAAAATATACTTTCTTAGCAAATTTCAAGTATATAATACAGTATTATTAAGTATAGTCACTATCCTATACATTAGATCCTCAGAATTTACTCAAAACTGAAAGTTTGTAACCTTTGATCAACACCTCCTCATTTCTCCCATCCAAGTACTAACCAGGCCCGACCCTGCTTAGCTTCCGAGATCAGACGAGATCAGGCACGTTCAGGGTGGTATGGCTGTATGGCTGTAGACAACACCTCCTCATTTCTCTACCCTCTAGCTCCTGACAACTACCATTCTAGTTTGCTTCTATGAGTTCACCTTTTTTAGATTTTACGTATAAGTGAGATCATACAGTATTTGTCTTTCTGTGTCCAGCTTGTTTCACTTAGCATAATGCCCTCCAGGTTCATCCATATTGTCACAAATGGCAGGATTTCCTTCTTTTTATGATTAAATAATTCTTTTTTATGATTAAATAATATTTATGATATATATGATATATATGTATCATATATATATAGTATATGCACACACAGAGACACATATTTCCTTTATCCGTTCATCTGTTGATGGGTACTCAGATTCTTTCCATATCTTGGCTCTTGTGAGTAATGCTACAGTGAACATGAGAGTGTAGATATCTCTTTGAGAGACTGATTTCATTTCTTTTGGATATATGTCCAGGGATGGGATTGCTGGATCATATAGTAGCTCCATTTAAGAATTTCTGAGAAAGCTTTGTACTGTTTTCCATAATGGTTGTATGAATCTGCATTCCCATCAGTGGGGTACAAGGGTTCCCTTTTCTCCATAGTCTTGGCAACTCTCATTTCTAGTCTTTTTGATGATAGCCATTCTAACAAGTGTTACTTGTTATCTCACTGTGATTTTGATTTGCATTTCCTTGATGGTTAGTGATGTTCAGCTACTTTTCATGTACCTATTGGCCATAGTTTGTCTTCTCTCTTCTTTGGAAGAACTATCTATTCAAGTCTTTCACCCATTTTAATGGGATTATTTGTGTTTGTGCTATTAAGTTGTATGAGTTCCTTACTTATTTTGAATATGTCAGCTATAAGTTTTGAAAACGTTTTCTCCTATTCTGTAGGTTGCCTTTTCATTTTGTTGATAGTTTTCTTATAGAAGCTTTTTACTTTGATGGAGCTTTTTACTTTTTACTTTCATATAGAAGCTTTTTACTTCTATTTTTGCTTTTGTTGCCTGTGTTTCTGGTGTCCTATCAAAAAAATCACACAGTAAACATTTTTAATCAAAGTTCACTTTCAGAAAATGTTATCCCACTTTGTGTCGTGCAGGTACCATACAACAGAATCCTCCCAATTCCTTCTTCCCTTCCCTGATGACATTGTTATCATTCATTTTATTTATCCATATGTGATAATTACCCCAATACATTACTATCCTTACTTTAAAATCGTTACCTTTTAGATGAAGAATAAAAATAATAAAAGGTGAAATTTTAGCTTTATTCTTTCTTCAGTTCTCTTTCTTTCTATATGTATATGTGAGTTTCTGACCTATATAATTTTCCTTCTGCATGAAGCACTTTTAATATATTTTTGCAGGGTAACTCTACTGGCTATGAACTTCTCAGTTTTTGTTTGTCTAAGAAAGTCTTTATTTCTTGTTCACTTTTGAAAGATATTAAAAATGGTTATAGAATTCTAGGTTGGTGGGCTTTTTTCCCAACACTTTAAAGGTTTCACTCTGTTGTCTTCTTACATGATTTCTGATGAGAAGTCTACTGTAGTTCTTAACATTGTTACTCTGCTGGTGAGGTGTTTTTCCCCCTCTGACTTCTTTTAACCTTTTTTCTTTGTCTTTCATTTTCTACAGTTTTAGTATGATGTGCTTACATGTAGATGCTGAGTATTTATATTGCCTGGTGTTCTGAGCTTCCTGATTTGGTGCATGGCATTAATTTTGGAAAATTCTCAGCCATAATTACTTAAAATATTTTTTTAAATGTTCATTTTTTAGAGAGAGAGAGAGAGCGAGCGAGTGAGCAGGGGAGAGGCAGAGAGACAGGGAGACACAGAATGCAAAGCAGGCTCCAGGCTCTGAGCTGTCAGCACAGAGCCCAATGTGGGGCCTGAATTCATATGAGCCGTGAGATCATGACCTGAGCCAAAGTCGGACATTTAACTGACTGAGCCACCCAGGTGCCCTTAATATATTTCTTTTTTTCCTTTTGGTATTCCAATTATCTAGATGTTTCACCTTTGAAATTACTCTGTAGTTCCTTGGATGTTCTCTACTGGTTTTTAATTTATTTATTTCATTTTTAAAAATCTTTTTGTTTTGGGAAGTTTCTATTGACTTGTCTTCATGCTTACGGATTCTTTCTTCAGCCAAATCCAGCCTACTAATGAGTCCATCAAAGGCATTAATTTCTCTTACAGGTTTTTTATACCTAGAATTTCCTTTTGACTCTTAAAGTGTTCACCTCTCTGATTATATCACCCATTTGTTCTTGAATATTGTCTCTTTTCCCATTAGGGACCTTAACTTTTCATCAGTTGTCTTAAATTCCCTGTCTGATTCATTCCAACATTTCTGTCAGATATCTGAGTCTGATTTTGATGCTTACTGTATCTCTTCAGACTGTGTCTTTTCTTGTCTTTTATCACACCTTGTAATTTTTTTGTTGAAAGCCAGATATGTTGTATCAGGTAGAAACTGAGAAACTGTATCAGGTAGAAACTGTACCTGTAGAAACTGAGGTAAATAGGCTTATGTGTGAGGTTTTAATCTGGCTAGAAGTTGAGCTGTATTTAATGTTTGCTGTAGCTGTAGGTGCCAGAGGCTTCAGTCTCCTCTAAGTGTCCTTGTCTCTATTGACTTTGTGCTTCTGTCTTCAGAGAGTCTGCATCTTGTAGCTCTTTCAGCTGTTACCCTTTGTTATCATACTAGAACCCTATTGTTGTGGTGGTAAGATGTGGGAAAAGATAAACTTTCTATAATCTGATGATTAAGTCTTGGTCTTTTATGAGTCTCTGTCCCTCGCTGTGACCTTCACTAAGGTTTTCTCCTTAGCTAGAGGGGGCTAGAATGGGAGGAATGCCCATCTGCCAGGTGGGATAAAACTCTGTTAAAATCTTTGCTCCTGGAGAGTCTGCCTTTGGGTAGAGTATGCTTTGGGCATTTATTACCCCTCCACACCCTTACCAGAACCACAAGGGGATTTTTGCGAGCTCTTCACTGTGAGAACTTGGTGAGGTTCCTGGGGGTAAAGACTGTGAAAGAGTGGT